CAGCAGGAGCAAAGTTGTTTATCAGTTATAAAAAAAACCCAAAACATGAATCGCAGGTCCAGATGGAAGGTACTAGTGTAATGTAGCGGCCTAAAGTGCCCACTTTCAAAATGTCATCACAACTGGCACTAACTAGAGTCTTCTTCAGGAATCTCAGCAGAGAGATTAAGAAGGCAAATTAAGGACAGGAATTTCTTTCCATCCTCCCACTCTTTCTTCCTGGTAGGTGTTCCTACTAATTACATTAATAGACAATCTTCTCTTACTGTCATATGCTATCCTGGAGACAGGCTCTGACATGATCTGGTGAACTGCTCCTTTTGTTCTGGTGGATCTATACTGTCATTATGATGTTTGGACTGTTAAGTGCAACAGCTCCGGACTAAGTGAGATCAATAAAGTTGAAAATTATTCTGTGCTTTAAAAATGTACTGCAAGTGAAAACATCACTGTGTAGTGATGTGAACTCACTGTGTGATTTCCAGGGATTTGCACTCTGTGCGAAGAGGACCATAGTCACCAGCATTTCCTCAAGACCTCTGTGGCCTCTCAGGGATTCTCATATATTTTTTTGATGTCGTTTGGCTCTGAACGGAAGGAACAGAGAGAAGAGGTATACATAGTTAAGTGCAAGGATTTAATAAAAACCCATTACATAATCTCCTTAAATCCTCAGTCCTAATTATTTACATGAGCATTAGATTAGGACCAAATTGATTCCTCGTCAAACATGATTCCAGTCTTCTCACAGCTTTTTGCTTATTATATGTGGAAAATTGTCTGTTTTCCTATCAAGTGTCGACAGATGACAAGAGCTTCTAGTTTGCTTTGTCTTTTATGAACTTGTTTAGAGCACGACTGAATATAATTACAAGTGTATGTATAAACAGTCTTACATCCAAAAGAACCTCATGCCAAAGCATCATGTCCAATGGGATAAAACTCACAATCTGGCACAGCTTGGCCACCTACAGATTAAAACTCCAAACTGAAGAGAGCCTGTGTTTATAAAAAGCATTGGCTCCACATGCCTGTACACTGTTTGCTTTACAGTCATACCTAGAAAAAACTAAGAACTGACAGCAGAGAGGGGAACACCAGCCGATTTAAGTGGAAAAAAAATGCTTTTAACCACTTCCTTGGATTCTTAGTTTCCAACAGTCCTATTCATGGATAAACCAACACGTAACTAACGTTAAGTGCTGTGCAACTAGCTACTGGCCTCATAAAGAGTCAGGTTTTAATTTCTGTTCAGGAAACTGTAGCATGTTTCTGGTGAATTACCAGCCCTGAAACACGGAAGACCACACCCACACACCCCAGCACTCTTCTGGACCCCCGAGGCAGGTCCCGGCTGGACACACCTGCAGACAGCGCTGAGCCCTTCCCGAATAGGGAAGGCCCCAAACCTTTCCCAAACAGTTCCTCCCGGGGGGGACCGGCAGACACACCCCGGTGTGCTGTGGTGCTGACCACATCCCTATTACGCCTGCGGGACGGCAGCAGCCCCCGCTCCCCTCTCGGGGGCCAGCCCTGACCGCTCGCGATGAAGAGGAAAGAGCCAGAACATGGCGGCGGCTCCCCTCCGCGGGTGTACCTCGGGAAGAAAGGGCGGCAGTCGCGTGCCTTATTCAACCCTCTGATTGGTCACTGCCAGAGGAGGGCGCTTGTGACTGGAGGGGCGACTGGGTAGTTGCCATTGGTCAACCTTCCTGAGGTAACTCGGATTCTGATTGGCGGAGAGATCGTTCTGCTTGTTGATTGGCTAGGAAGCAGCGCCGGGGTCTTTCCCGTTCCGGTGGGCGCTGACCTTGTCCTGGAGCGGAGCCGCAGCCATGGTGGCGTACTGGCGGGGGGGGGGGGGGG